TACATCTTGTCTCACATCATATTGAGTAAACTTCACTCGGGCCAACCTGCCTACCCCTAGATGGTGGACCCACTCTATGTGATCTATCTATTGCAGTTGGCCCAAGGTTAATGCCAAGTTTGGATTGTGCTACATCTCTTATCTTTTGATTTGTGACTTCACCTTCAGATTCTTGGATCCCAAAAAAATGGCAAACAATTCCTCCTTTGGTATTGTTCAGCATCATTTGCCTTCTCCTGAAGATTGACGATTGCAGAGTGGTCTGTTCGCTGTTGTTCACTCAAGTTGGTGATGACCTTTTCCTTAGCTTTGAGATCATTCTCGAGTTGAAGAATTTGCCCTTCCGCTGTTTCTAGCTGAACACGCAGATCATAGAGTTCTTTGCTTATGGCATCAGTGATTGTTGATTTAAGTAGATCGGCAAATTCGGCGCTGTTGAAAAAGGATCTTACTTCAGCTGCGATCGTGTCGGTTACGGGTTCATTGCGGGGGGTTGGCTGCTCTGTAGGATGCAGCATTGCAGAAGGTGTGTTGTCATCCATGTCTTTATGTTTGCTTTTGGATGTTGCACTAGCAAGCATATTCTCCCCAGTGGGTGAGTGCGGCCCTGCAGCAGGTAAGAGCTGATCTTCATGTATGCCAGAGGTTGATGAGGGGGTAAGTACATCCTTTGAGACATTCCGGATGGATTTTGGAGTTTTAGTGCTAGATTCTGTTTTCTTTCCTTTTCTCTCTCCTATCTTTGGTGAAAATTTGTTGGCTGGGGAACCTACATTCCCATGATTTCTCCTTGACCGCCTGGACACTTGGTTTTCCTCTTGGATATCAGGCATGATGAGAGTTGAGATTGCTCTACTTCTAAATGTATGTCACACTGCATTTAGTAGCGTAATGAGATCGAAAAATTTGAAAGATGAAGGGGGAGGTGGTGGTGTGTGTGAGAGAGATATGGAAACTTGATCAGTGCAGTGATCTTGGTTGGGATATTTTGCTTAATTGTTTCTTTTTTAATTGATTTAGGACAAGGAAAGGTGCAAAATGGACATGCGTCTATCAGGGGCGGCAATTTCTTTTCATGACCGAGGAGGGGGGGGGGGGACGAAATGCAAGGGACGAGAGAGAGCATAATGAACGAGAGGGGCGAAGGTGACGGAAGTGACTACCCCCTCACAGGTTTTTGAACTTTTGTTGTATTTACATTTTGTTTTATTCCTGAGCAAAACTATAGTACACAAACAAGCAATATACTTTTTTCACACTTGAGTCACTTAATTAGTGTGCAGTCCGAAGCGTTGTAAATATTTAGTAGTTAAATGTTATTAGTCTAATTTTCGCATTTTCATTAGTCTAAACGCTGCACTCTTGGGCCCTCGAGAGCCTAAAAGTGTGTTGCCGTCTTTAGTCACTATTTTGCTATACATTTCTTTGTGTACATTTTTTTTCAAATTTTCCGGGGGGCGATCCCCTCCTAAACAAATTGAGGGGGATATTCCCCCCCCCCTCCCTTTCACCTTGGATCGCCGCGCCTGGCATCTATTGAAATTGATAGTGCAGAATTGTTACTTTGGACTTTTTCTATGCTCTGGCATTTTTAACTCTATACCAAACTATTACAACTTGAAGTAACAACGCGTATTTATCACTGACAAGGTCTTTCTTTCTGTGGGGGAAAAAATATGGAAATTTCCTCGCCTCTCAGCCTACTTAAAAATTAAACATAACCCATTTGAGACAAATTAAAAAAAACGCAAAGACATGTATTTGTTTCCCTTTAATACCAGATTTTTTATTCAGAAGAAATACAACACAACGTATTGAAATTGAGCTTATAAGTTACAAATAAATTAACCAAAAGTATTTTCGAGAGAGGGCCGAATATTCAGAGCAACTGACAAACCTAGCTCTTTGAATGAAATTGATTCATTTAATATCAAATATTGAAAAGGGATAGAACTTAGCCATTTACACCACGTTAACAGTAACTTTAGGATAAGCTTGAGTTCTGGCAATTATAGAAAATACATTCTCAGAGAATCCAACAAAACTTACACTGAATGTTCAAGATTACAAATTAATGACATATGCCAAACGATTATGGTAGAACATGTATAGGGGCTGAGTAATGAGCATAGAAAGATAAGGAAATCAAGCCCGGCACCATGTGCTTAACACAGGTCACTATGTGCAAGAGAGTTGTGGTTCTTATCGAAGATGATTTTCAGCAAGTTTTTGTTAGGTTGATTTGATTTTACTGGTTCAAACTACTGCAGAATAAATCATGCAGAATGAATTATAACCATATTCTCTCGACTAACGATACCAATTCCAGAGCTCAAGATTAGCTTTAAACGATTTTACAAAGGGTTTACTCGATTCCTGACGTCTACTTGTCACAAGTAGACGTCAGGAATCGAGTAAACCCTTTTTTAGACCAATTTTTTCTAGATTTTGAATATTGCCTAAGGCGAGTAAATTATATACACCCCCTTCTGATGTTGATAATTCTGTTATGGCCTACTTCTAAGCACATATAAAAGGGCATTTTTCTTGATGTCAGGAACGTCCGTCTTGCCGCTCCCGGCACACGGCAAGTATTGTGACTTAAATTGGGTAACACAGTTAGGGCTTTGACAGAAGAATTCTCATTTTAAAAGAAGTATTAGTTTAATGAATTAAATTAACACTAACATGTTATTTAATTAACAAAATAAAATTATATTGTAGATTTGTAGGGATAATAATAAAGATTGTCTTTAAACGATGAAATGAAAACTAAAATTCAAGATTTAGATAATGGTAAAAAAGACAGAGAAGATCAAATTAAACCAAATAATGGTTACGCAGATATGAACGGTAAAGATTAAGCAAGAATATAATGCAGTATACAATGCATTAACATTTTAGATATTACCAACCCAGACTTTGAAATAAAAATTTAGAAAAAGGCCTCTATATATATATTAAATTAAGTAAACCACAACCAGCAGATTTTAAACGTTAACAAAAAAAAAACGTGCCACGGTTTGTGCGGCGGTCTACCGCTTTGCCGCGAACTAAATGATGCGTAGAAGTAAAACTCAAAGTTGCAATCAGGTCCTTTGGACGTGTTGTAGTTGGGTAGTTCAGTCCAATCTCGTTGTCATGTCAGCCTTGCCAAGCCATTAGTTAACTAAAAAAGAGAATTTGTATGGGAAGATAAATAAAACGCATCGAATGCACCCACCACTTTGTATCACTTTTATGAAACCGAGTCCAGGTGTAAATGGGTACCTGTTCTTGTTTCAAATAGAATCCACCACTCTCTTTCTTCCTCTATTCAGTATCTTTATCTCCTTTTATGTCGCTTGCAGTCTACTTATCTTTTCAGGAACACACCCTTCCCTTTCTTTGACCTATATAAATTATGTAGGCCTACTGTTTATTATTGTGCAATATTTTTACATTGAGAGCAGCGAGGTAATTGGATACAATGCTAATGCATTTAACAGTCACTGATTTTATAGGCTTTTGTTTTGCAATTTGACCGATTTAATCTATTTCACGTACCTTTTACTTTCTATTGTACATGATTTCTTAGTGCTGCAATTTGTATAAATTCGGTATTTTACTTGCACTGTAGAAACATGTACACTTCAGTTTGTGATTACCAGTCATGGTTAAAGGGGTAGTCCACCCTGGTATCGTATCGGTTTTATCAGAAGCAGACGATGAAAGAATCAGGTCAGGGAAAGTTTGAGCAAAAACCGATTAAAAATAGTAATTATTAATTGCTGCAGGTGCGATCAATCGAATACAAATTGGCAACTCTGTGACGTATCTTGCGAGGTCCCTTTCAATTCGCCCTGTTTTTAGTAGGTCAATGGTTGGAAAAAAACTTTCCACAAAATTATATTTTCCCCTCAGAAAATGTTCAATCATACATTTATTTATCTTAAATATCTTCTTTTGTGTTGTTTTATACAACCCCGATATGACACTTAATATACTGTCATCAACAACTAAGAAAATTAAATTAAAGTTTATGAAATTTTCTGTACAGAAAGAATTGGAGAGGAGCTCGCAAGATACCTCACAGTGCTGCCAATTTGTGTACCACTGATGATAACTTCAAAAATTAATAACTTTTATCATTTGAATCGGAGATCAAATTTTCACTTATTTATTTCTCTCATTTTTCTGCTTTTATCAATACCAGGGTTGACTTCCCTTTTTAATAAACCTTAATTGAATTGAATTAAATTGAACTAAAGTTAATTGAATTATACTTACACATAATAGCAGAGATTACCCTCACAACTTTTTTGTTCTCCTCCCCAGGTAGGACAACGAGAACAGGGTGTACCTGATAGGTATGGGCCACCTGACAACATGTTACCTCTGGAAGATAGTAAAAGAACGATTCAATATCAAGACCTTCGAGGAATCAACTCAAGGACAAGTTTAATTCAAATAATTCCATCATTCTTCGCTATTTTTAATTAAAACTTGTTCAGCTGTGGTTAAAATATATATTGATAAAATGCATTGTACTCTTTTCATGGGGGGGGGGGGTGGGATTTTCGTTCAGCTTCGTTTACGGTTCTCAATTCATAGAATTGTGTAGTCAACAACAAACAAAAAACAAAAATTTGCACATCGTGAAATATGTTTACTTTACATTCAGTATTTGATTAACTTTCTGATGGGATTGATGTTAAATTATAATTCTATCCCTTACAATATCTCCCGTCTCTCCAATATATATGTTCCACAACATGATAGAGAAAGATAAATATGATATGATTATGACTATGATGTAACAATACATATATGCTAATTCCGTTTCCAAGCAATGTGCCATTTCAAAGCAGTCATGTACTCATGTTTGTGCGTGTGTGTGTGTGTGTGCGTGTATGTGTGTGTGTGATTGTGCGTGTGTATATATGTGTGTGTGTGTGTGTGTGTGTATGATCCCGGGCAAAATAGGAACAATGACCATGCAAGGATGACAACGAATCAAATTACCCGGTTCCGTAGTAACAGACGAGGTATGTCTTTCCCTCACATTGAGCCTTGCCACATCCAAGGAAAGAGGTTGTAGCCCAAACCACCTGCATAAACCAAAATTAATTAAAAAAATGGTGATGATAATAAAACAAGAACAACAATAACAACAACACCAACGAATACAACTATACAACTACTACTACTAGTAATAATAACAATCATAATGATAATGATATAATTTATGACATAATAAATACGATGATAATAATAATACTAAAATAAACAACATTAAGCAAAATAATAATATTAATAATCATAATCGTCATCACAAAAAAATTATATATATACATATATATATATATATATATATATATATATATATATATATATGTATATATGAAGAGCTTGATTCCAAAAGGAGTTAAATCCATATTTTATCAAAATGGAGTTATTTGTCTTAAAATAATGATTTCCTACATGGGGACAAAATGCACTATATCACATTCGAAAATTTCACCAAGAAGTATGAACAAAATTAGGTACAATATCATGTTTCATTCCAAAAGGAGCTAAATCAAAATCGGTGGCCCTTTATCTCCATATTTATGTGTAATAGTTATCGAATTATTATCTCGTTATATTAGGAAAGATGGGAGGATTGAAGGAATAAGATTCAGGATAAAGAAATAAAACAAGTGTTGTATGCAGATGATATTACTTTGTTTTTAAAAGATATGGATTAAATTAAAAGAGTGAAGAAAGTTTTCAAAAACTTTGAAAAATTGAGTGGATTGAAGCTATTAATATAGATAAAACAAATTTCATGTGGATGGGATAGGAAAAGGATAGGCCGGGTTTACCTCTGTTCGGACATTGGGTACAACATATAAAATTCCTAGGGATATATTTCGCACGTAATTCCAAAATAAAAGATGATTTGAACTATAAGGAAATTTTGAGCAAAATCAAAAGACTAATCGGTTGGTGGAAGCAAAGGGATTTAACGATGTTTGGCAAAATTAAATTATTGAAAATGTATGTATTTTCAAAAATAAATTATGTATCGTCTCTTATGACAGTCCCACAGAGCATTTTTAAGAAATCAACAAGATCTCTTTTAATTTTATTTGGGGAGGAAGAAACAGAATAAAACGGAAAATATTATATCAAGATTACTGCGTTGGGGGACTCAGATTAACGAATTTCAAGGTATTTGTCAAGACTCAGAGAATAATGTGGGTCAAACGGTTGCTATATGGAGAAAAGTATTCAGGTTGGAAAGTAACCTTTGACCACTTTTTCAGATCACTGGATGGTCGAATTATATTTCTGTGTAATTATGATATTAATAAAATGGACTTGAATGTATTCCATTGTTTTATAAAGACATGTTGAAAGCATGGCAAGAATTAGATAAGTGCAGACATTTTGGAGAAAATAAGAATAATCCGCTTATCTGTAATAATAAGTGCATATGTCTCAGCAATAAAACATTTTTTGATGTCGAATTATTTCAGAAAGGTATATTTCAAGCATCAGATATAATCGTCAGAGGTCATTTAAAACCAATCTTACTTTTTATAATTTGGGTTATGCAACTGAAAGCTTGCTTAGAATTCAAAAGATCTTTTCAGCAATCAGATTAGAATGGATGCAAAGTGATTTTATGGAAGCGGATACTGAAAATTTTGAAATAGAATTGATGATATTTGGACGTTTACAGAAACTATGTGACATAAAGTCTAGGCGGTTATATGATTACTTCATTGAAGAATTTCAAAAAGATTACACATTACATGTTACAGACGGTTACTGTGAATATGATCTTGGAATGAGGGAATTGAAAGAAACATTCACCAGGTGAAATGTGCAATGTTATGTAATAAACAAAGAGAGTTTCAATACAAACAATTACATGTGGCTGTATATACGAAAAGAGAGCTTTTCAAATTTGGGTTTGAGTCTGACCATTTTTGCTCCTTTTGTAGACTAGAAGTAGAGACATATCAGCATTTATTTTTAGATTGTCATATAGTTGAACGATTATGGCAAGAGGTAATTAAAAAGTTGCATTTAATATAAGTTCACAGTGATGATTGGAAACCCATTTTCATGGGAATATCTGGCAATACTGCTAGAATATTTGTAATAAATTGTATTATATTTCTAGTAAAGTATATCATTTTTATTTCCAGAAAAAAGGTAACTCTGCCATCCGTGCAGAAAGTAATACATATGCTGAAAGATTACAGAGACGAGGAATATAAAATAGTCTTCAAAAAGGAAAAACTAGGGATGCACTTACAGAAAAGGGAACAAATCGATGCATTTTTACTTTAATGAATGTTTTTTTTTTGACATTTTTACCTCTGACATTTTTACCTCTGACATTTTTTCCTCGGACATTTTTTCCTCTGACATTTTTTCCTCTAACATTTTTTTCCTCTGACAATTTTTCCTCTAACATTTTTACCTTTGACATTTTTACCTCTGACATTTTTACCTCTGACATTTTTTTCCTCTGACATTTTTACCTCTGACATTTTTTCCTCTGACATTTTTACCTTTGACATTTTTACCTCTGACATTTTGTCCCCTGAAATTTTTTCCTCTGACATTTTTACCTCTGACATTTTTACCTCTGACATTTTTTCCTCTGACATTTTTACCTCTGACATTTTTACACCGAGCCGACCCAATGGCGATGCGGATATTGTGTGGGTCCGGACATAATTATGATGGCGTTTTTCTATGCACATCACATCTTCACTTAGCAGCCCGCAGGAGGAGGGGGGAGTTAAACCCGCTAACCCCTCCCCCCCCCCCCCACCCCGTAGATCCGCCACGCTGTTTATGTATTGTCAATGGCTATTTTGAGCTTTGAAACTTACCTGAATATATTGGTTGCAGGATGCGCGGGCAGGTGAACACGTGTCGGTGTCGAGGTCATATTTATCCTTCTGATTATTCCACGAATCCATCAAAGAAATGAGACTGCTGCCGACCCCTTGGGCGATGTTCTGGCCTACCACGTCCCATCTTGGTGAAGAAGGGTTGTTGTCGCTGAAGGTGCATTGGTCAGCCCACGTCTGCGCCGTGTTTGCAAGCCAGTGGTTCCATCGCTGTTACCAGAGAACGAGGCAATAGTAGGATTGTTTGTTTTTTCATTTATTTCGGTTCATTGAAAGAAAATGAGTTGTAGAAACAGTCCAAAGACTGATACATACAAACATAACATAGTTGCATTTTAAAGAATAAATTCACCAAAACTGACAAGGAACGAAAAATGGGATAATAAAGTAAGAAGAATAATTGTTTAACATACTGCACTAATCTTCAAAAAGAAAATAAACTCTAGACATCGAAATTGTTACAGGTAATTTTTCCGTTAGGACGTGATAAAAGAACTTTAAAGTCATTATTACAACCATCCTGGTGAAACTCTTTCATAATGATAATAATCATAAACAAATATTTCTCATAATAAAGTAAGAACAAAAAATAGAAACGTAAAGAGACATACTGCAAAAAAAAAAAGAGAAGAGGGAGAGAAAAACAAAATCATAAGAGTGCCATTTAATTTGCTCATAGTTTACATTGAAACCTTTTACAGGCAATTAAATAATTAGCCTTGAATAATAATATTGCGTACGTATATGATCATAATGGTGCCAGGTAAAAATGTCAGAGGAAAAAATGTCAGAGGAAAAAATGTCAGAGGAAAAAATGTCAGAGGTAAAAATGTCAGAGGTAAAAATGTCAGAGGAAAAAATGTCAGAGGTAAAAATGTCAGAGGTAAAAATGTCAGAGGAAAAAATATCAGAGGTAAAAATGTCAGAGGTAAAAATGTCAGAGGTAAAAATGTCAGAGGTAAAAATGTCAGAGGAAAAAATGTCAGAGGAAAAAATGTCAGAGGTAAAAATGTCAGAGGTAAAAATGTCAGAGGAAAAAATATCAGAGGTAAAAATGTCAGAGGTAAAAATGTCAGAGGAAAAAATGTCAGAGGAAAAAATGTCAGAGGTAAAAATGTCAGAGGTAAAAATGTCAGAGGTAAAAATGTCAGAGGTAAAAATGTCAGAGGAAAAAATGTCAGAGGTAAAAATGTCAGAGGTACAAGCAAAACAAATGAGTGCCGTCATAATATCTCAGCACTTTATCACTCAGAATGTCAAGACCTACAGCTACTGCATGGGCTAGTCTATTATATTCGTTTCTAAATGGATGTGTTGTATATCGTACATGTCCTGGAGATAATATAATGTGGAAAATAGATTTTGAAATTTTTTTTTTTTTGGAAGCAATCAGAGAAGGTTAATCATCTAGCATAAACATGTAAGTATTGGTGTGTAGTGCAAGGTTTTGGAGTCATCAAAATGATAAAAAATTTGGCCCAGTCTTGGTAAAGTAACAAGCACTGTACACAGAAAGATATTGATATGGGACTACACAAACATATGGCATACAAATCGGGCAGGCATACAAAGATGTTACTTGTTATATCTGGGATATGAAGTCATTTGAAATAGATTTTCAGGGAATAACTTTTTTCTTTGATGTTCTATTACACTTGCATTGAACGCTCACAAATAATTTTTTTTTACCTTTCCCCAGAACTCAACCTTCTCTTTAATTGATGTAACATGGGCGGCTTTCTGCTTTGTATCGGAGTAACAAAGCTGCTTATTGATTTTCTCCCAGACTATTTTATACCGCAATAGTAATCGACAATATTTTATTGCAACGCGCGCACTTCGGGAATGTGATGGTGCGGTTAGCATTGATAACATGGCTTTCTGCTTGTTTCAGAGTATCAAAATACCAAGCCCTCAAGAAAGTGGAATTGTCGGAAATATGCATTTATTGGAAATTACATATAATAGTAGACATTGCCACGCAGTTAAAATGTCCAACAATCTTCAAATACGAAGGAGAAGTAGGAGGGGGAAGGTTCATAGATATCTGATCCTATTTTGGGGGCTGTACTGACTTTTCTTTTTATTTAATGATTACACCATGGAGCGACAACTCAGCCTATAAAACATGGCCAAACTTCTCGATTTTAGAAATCTTTTTCCCCAGAAGTTTGCTCAGTGTACCAGTACCATTTGCTTATACAAAAACATAATATACCGGTATATAAATATTGAATAAGGCAGACTAATGGGACGTGGATGGTGTACTCCGAGTTTCACGCCTTGCAAGCGGTCATCAGACAACTGATAGCATTCTTCAAAGTACATGATTCCTCTACAACCAGGGCTCAAATTAATTTTTTGTCCACGGGGGCTCTGCCACCCAAAAAAGAGCCCCCGTGAGCCTTCTCACGGGGGCTCTTTTAGTACTGACGGGGGCTCTCTGTTATACAACTATCCATTGAATTGGTACCTATGATACTCCTCAATTATTTGCTATTTCATCATTATCATTTCAATCAGCATTTTCCCTCTTACAAATTTACAAGCTACATAGCTGTTACTGGCCTGTGTATATAATATATACGCATACAACACTGATCTTTATGATGTCTTTAACGTGACATATCTTCTTCTCCCCTTGCAAACGAGAAAGAAAACAAGGTCATTAAAAGGGATTAAGCGACAAATAATGATTGTGATTCAAATTGATGCGAATATTTGGTTGAATAAGCACTGCTATTCACCCGAATCTTCTTTGTAAAAACAACTTTTACAATTCTCAGCCATGCTTACTGAGTTGAGACGTTCCATTCAATGTAAAATACTCGTTACAGAATACACTTCTAATCTGAAAGTGATCTTACAACACAGTGGCAGATTTGCATGGCTGAGATTTGTAAGATTCTGGTGAAAAGCATTGCTTATTCAAAAAAATCCTTGCATCAATTTGAATCACAATGATTATTTGTCGCATGATCCTTTTATTAAATAACCTTGTTTTTTTTTTTTTTTAATGATTACACCATGGAGCGACAACTCAGCCTATAAAACATGGCCAAACTTATCGATTTTAGAAATCTTTTTCCCTAGAAGTTTGCTTAGTGTACCAGTACCATTTGCTTATACAAAAACATAATATACCGGTATATAAATATTGAATAAGGCAGACTAATGGGACATGGATGGTGTACTCCGAGTTTCACGCCTTGCAAGCGGTCATCAGACAACTGATAGCATTCTTCAAAGTACATGATTCCTCTACAAGTTACAACCTTGGTATACGCTCAAAATAAGACTTAACTAATACAATACAATAAGACAGCGGTGAAATAACGACTGCAGAATATCCATCGCTCTTCTTTTTCGATAAGCCTGATATATAACCCGGGTGTAAACATAACAATCTTGTCACATGCTTTTGTTTTTATTTTAAACTCTGACATTTTTACCTCTGACATTTTTTCCTCTGACATTTTTACCTCTGACATTTTAAACTCTGACATTTTTACCTCTGACATTTTTACCTCTGACATTTTTACCTCTGACATTTTTTCCTCTGACATTTTTACCTCTGACATTTTTTCCTCTGACATTTTTACCTCTGACATTTTTTCCTCTGACATTTTTACCTCTGACATTTTTACCTCTGACATTTTTACCTCTGACATTTTTTCCTCTGACATTTTTACCTCTGACATTTTTACCTCTGACATTTTTACCTCTGACATTTTTACCTCTGACATTTTTTCCACTGACATTTTTACACCGAGCCATCATAATTACGATGGTGGGTTCGCGTATAGCGCTCTTGTCTAGCACTGTTACTTCTGGTGCTCGAATATTATCAACTTGATTTTAGCACATTCAATGCATGGCACAAGATCGCAAGACAATCATCGTACACGAGGCGTCATTTGATTGACGCAAGTCTGCGTCAACGACTGGCGCGGTCTCTAATACGTCATGTGAGAGTGATATCTCGTGCAAATTATATGAATAAAAAATTGAACAGCGCAAGCGTTGCTGTTAATTTATGGGTGTATGCATTATTTGCATTGACGATTTGATTAGCGCAAGCAATGATGCAAATAATTCCTAGTATGCGCAAATGGACGTACACACTTGATTCAAGCCGCCGAAAATGGCGTTGTCAACAAACTCATTTTGCTCACCTGTTGCATTATTACTTGCGCTAATCAGCCTGTGAGCGCAATTAGCTTTAATAAAATTTAAAGAGTAGACAACGATTTAAAATGGTTTATTGACAGGCTGACAAAATGTAGGTCAAGAGGTTGTTTACATTTTTGAGGGAAATTCACGCGCTAGGAAATGTAATACTTTGTATTACATTGGAAGGAAATGTACAAGCGTATGTACGCTTATCAAGCAAGCGCGGAAAACACCGCCAGCAAATTAAAAATAGCACGAAGGGGCTTTCATTCTAGTTATGGCTTTCATTTTGAATGGACAAGAAGAAAAATTTACGGAGTCTAAAACATTCCCACCACCTCCCCATTATCTCCACCAATAAAAGTATTTTTAGTATATAAGTGGCATAAATTAAGTATTGCTTGGTGGTTCGAAGTAGCCAAGGCATACGTATTAGTACGGAAAGGATTTAGGGTTTCAGGTATGAAAGGTACGGATAGGGTTTATGTAATAAATTGGTCAGTGATTTATGAAGTCAATGCAGAGCCGGGGGCATTTGGCCTGGTCGCACATCAACTTGCGTCGTGCACAAAGAAAGTGGGCCGTAGGGGAATTTTTCCCATTGGGTTTCGCCCCTACCCGGTTTTGTATGGGTAAATCACTGATCACATGGTACTGATAAGTTTATTGATCAATAATTGTCATCCGATAATTTTCGACCCCACTCAATTTTTACATGCGAGGGGGTTGCCAATGTATATTCAGTCGAATTTGTTCGCATGTCAATTCTTAGTTTTCCGGCCCCCATTCGATTTGAATGCGGGGGGACCTAGTTGTACCTACACATTTTCAAACTCAGGGTGTCACGCTTTAATCTTAGGCATCATCCGATCTTACAGGCGGAGAGGCTGGTATATATATACATCTATATTCTATAACTTTAGGCATCACTCGATTTTATAGGCGGGGGGCTGATATAATGACTTAATGTATATAAGTTTAGCCTAGGCATCACTCGATTTCATAGGCGGGGGGCCTAGCATAACTTTAGGCATCACTCGATTTTATAGGCGGGGGGCTGATATAATGACTTAATGTATATAAGTTTAGCCTAGGCATCACTCGATTTCATAGGCGGGGGGCCTAGCATTGCATTTGTAAGCATTTTTTATGATTCAATATATCTGTGTTATTTTGTTATGACACCCAGAAAATCAAAATGTGCAAAATAAGCGTCCATCTCAAAATGTTAATAAAGCCACGACATAAACGCAAATTTGGTTGTTTGTTATTTTTGTTAGCCGTGAATAATATGCACCGTTGCCGTGGTCCAGTGGTTCATTCACTTGACGCTCAATTCAAGTGTTCAGGGTTCCGATACCAGCCCGGGCAGCGTCTTATTTTTTCGTAGCCCGGCACTATATCGGGCAAAGTTTTCTTTATTCTGCACGTATACACCATCTGTCGCACCACAATCAGTATACATTCAATGCATAATTATTTGAACCTCTTAAACCAAATAATTTATTTTGCAGTGAAAATATACAATTAAATCCAATGGAACTTTTTTTTTCCCGACTCTTGTCATTCGGGTCGAAAATACATTTTACATTCTCCCTTTCTTCTCTTTAATAAAATTGCATAGATATGTGAACATCCTTTAATACGTGTCATAACCAATGCCATTGTATATCTGGAAAAAAGGGGTTGTGGCTCCCTGCGTCGCATAATCAACGATAAAAAAAGAAAAACTAATTAATATTATACTTATCTTGGAAATCTTCCAGAGAGAAAAAAATATATAAATATTTGTCTCTAAAATATCTTTGACAAAAACGAACTCTTATGCAATATTTTACTTTTTATTGGGCTATTGCCTATTTTAATGTAATCATTATTCCATAAGGGTTAGCAGGAAATGTACAGTAAGGGTTAATTTTAAATCATGCGGTTCGGGCAAGAAAAATTGCAAAAGAAAGAGGATATTGCGATCTATTGAGCCACTTGCCAATCTCTTAATTCAGGAAGTTTTTAATGATTGGCAATGTGTGTATATATCTTAAATGTTGACCCCTTCCCCCTCCCCCCTCCCCAAAGAAATCTATAAAAATGAGCATTTATATCTTTCAAAAGTTTTTCACCTGCGGATTAGGTATAGACATATAAACTATTAAACCAGACATTGCATCATCTAAAAGTTTAACGTTCACAATAATAATAATAATGATAATAGCATTTATTATTATCATTATTATTATTATTATTATTATTATTATTATTATTATTATTATTATTATTATTATTGTTATCGTTGTCAATACTATCAATTTTAACAAATTCTTCTTGGTGCCTCTCTCTGCAAATCTTGAAAACGTTTAGGGTTAGGCATAATGTTGATCCAGTGTTGAAGCTACGAATTCGGTTAGTGTATAGGAAATTTTACATGAAGCAAGTTTCGCAAGAGAAAGTGGTGTCGCAAGATCAGCAAGTATCGTATAACACAAAACTTACCAGAGATCTCATGTTTGCAGCAGGTGGATCTACTTCATTACGGTACTGGTTATGTTTAGCCAGGATAGTTGTTTTCTCCTCTTCGGTGAGTCCATAAGCCATCTCTCCAAAGGAGGCTGCCAACACAAGTACGAGGCTCAATGCGGGAATCATGATGATGTGGTATAGGTAGAGGTAGGCACAGCTCAGATATGAAACAGCTCTTGGAATACTGACGTTTATATTAGGGCTGGTGATCTACTCTCCGTCCCGGAGAAAGTGAATTTCACAGTCGAAATATTGATTGATCATATGCGTGACAGTGAGAGGAAGATAAATATACAAGGCCGTTATATCATGCAAATTCCAATTAATACCGTATGGCGAAGAAGTTACTACAAGGACATCGCGAGAGAAAGAGAGAGATAGGGCGGGGGCACGTGCCCCTACTACCGGAATGCCTGTTGCACACGTCTGGTGCACCCCCCCCCCCCCCCTGAAAACACCAAACTTGAAATGTTGTTTGAGTAACCCATATAGATCAATATTAGCTGGCAGAATGTAGTTTAGACATTGTAAATACAACAAATATGCAATGTGAATTCTTCCTAGAAAAAGAAGAAATCGTTTGATTATCATACTTCATATTACAAAAATATCTTCATTTCAAAATATTGGATTCACTGAGACAAAATAGACTTTCATAAGTCCTTCGGAATCCAATCTGAATATTCGTTGTGTGACATTGAATACCGTATGGTCCATTCAATTTTCCTTAACCTTTTTTTTTCAATTATTGCTCGAAAACCGTTTAAAATCATTTGCTTTAGATTGCATGGCATTGTTATCTACCATGCAGGAATATGCATTTTAAACATGCTCAGAACATGTCAACATGTATATAGCTGCAGAATACCCGGTATTTGTAAGATTTAATGTTGTTATTTTATGAATTGTCTATGACACTTTTTGCTATGAATGTGTAGTTCCTTAGTAGCGATGTTAAAATAATGAAATAAGTTGCATAGTTTTGTCTGTTAACATACTCACAACTTGTAAACAGCTGTACTTCTTGTTGTTGTATGATTCAATTTGATTAATTTAACAACTTTATTTGTTAGAATGTCTGAATAATATAACAATCAATTAGGTTGCAAAGTCTCCTATCTATCAAAACATATTTAAATTCCAAGTATGCTCATGATATGTACATAGCAGTATAATGATAAGTGTAAGATTCAACACTGTGGATTTCATAATGTTGCAATGGTACATGAAAACCTTTGATATGTAATTTCTGAAAGGCAAATGCTACAATATTAAATAGGTTGCAGACTTTTGTCATCTAACACACTCATAATAATGTAAATAGCTGCATGTAATACTTTTGGGGGCAACTTTCGTTTTTTCTCACTCTCTCACAATATGAATATCACTGTATTATATGGCATTCCAGCGAGTCCACATACAAAAACAGAGGTGATGGCTACAGGGAGCAGACATGGTCTGGTTTTGTGATATAAAATCCACCTAATCTTGCACTTTTAACTGCAGATCGTGTATTTTATTTATCTGATTTTGCTTCTTGAACATATCTTCAAGCTTTTGATATGATTATTTTGTTCTTTGATACCTTCTGGAGGTAGAATATTGTGATAGTTTTACAGCCATTTTCTGCCAAGGAATTTGAACACACACCTGTAGTCCCATATGGAGGATCCTGAGTTTGCTTATTTTGCCCAGCCTTCTTCATACCTACACTACAGGCAACAATAACTGTAATGTATATTTTCTGACTGAATTATGCTTATATTATTCTTATGATATAGAAGCAATTACTCACTGGGATTTCAATCATTTACCAGATGATTTAGCTAACCGTCTACTACTACTAATAGCTAACCTACATAAAATGGGTGTAGCTGAGTGAGTGAGACTGCTGTGAGCTTTTCTGACTTCCCTTTGTTTGTTCTGAATACGTATTGAATATTGAATACTGTCCTGCCAAATTTAATCACCGGTATTCATCACCGTTCGACTTGCAAACGCCATCATGAAGAATTACTTCTTACCACCCTCTTCTTCTAGATCACATCCACTCCTTCTAGCAATACTCTCAATAGTGTGTGCACTTAAACTATTGAAGAGTGGAAACCTGTACACGCAGATTGCAGACCATAGATCAGCTTCTTTACCCTTCTTCGATCTACACGCAACGCTTTGTGAACCAAGATCACTACACCAGCCTACTAGAAGGCGTACTTACACTGCAGATATTGATAACTGCAAACTGTTACTTTTTATATCATCCTGTAATAAGTGGAATCGAAATACAAAGCTTTGTCCACTTGACTTCAGGTCGACTTCTTTGAGCCACCTAACCATCCTACTTCTCCTCAGCGGACAAGTTGAAACCAACCCTGGTCCATCAACTAGTGCTCCTGAGACATTTCCATGTGCCATCTGTGGGGATGAAGTGAGAGACAACGACCCTGCTCTCTTATGCGATCACTGCGACTGCTGGTGCCACATCTCATGTGTCGGTATCTCCCCAGACTCCTATGATATCTTGACGAAGAAGTCCAGGAGCTTCGCTTGGGTGTGCTGCCAGTGTTCCTCTACCAACATAGGGTCAAGCAGCTCGCTGCAAGGTCTTAACCTCTCACAGACCAATCGTTTCTCACCCCTTCACCACGACTCCAGTAATGAAGAAATCCTTCCCTCCATCAACCCTCTAACCTCTACGCCTACATCGAGCCCTGGGGGACGTCGTCAACCACGATTTCACCCTCCATCAAGAAATCGCAAAAAGGCATTTAAAGTGATGGTTGTAAACTGCAATGGTCTTAAGGGGAATGCTAAAAAATCAAGCTTCCATGCAGCTATTGCTCACCACACTCCTGATTTTGTTTTTGGTTGTGAATCAAAACTGGATGACAGCTTATCATCATACTCAATCTTCCCAAGCAATTACTCAATCTACCGTAAGGACAGAAACATCCATGGAGGTGGTGTTTTCATAGCAATCATCGACACACTAATTGTCACTGAATGTCCAGAGTTTGACTCAGACTGTGAGATACAGTGGTGCAACGTGCAACTTGCAAATGCCAAGCCACTGTATATTGGTAGCTACTACTGCCCCCCCCCCCCCAACAACAGACAACAAGGCCTTGAAGGCTTGCACCAGTCATTGTCCAAGATTATGACAAGGCACCGGCGCAGCCACCCTAACATCTTGATAGCCGGCGACTTTAATCACCCAGACATCAACTGGGATGACCAGTCGACTACAAATCCAGCCACTTCTACTTGTCACCAGAAGCTGTTGGATATCCTTTTGCACAACTCCTTGTCTCAAACAGTCAGGGAAGTCACCCGACCTTCATCCAACAACATCCTGGATCTAGTTGTGACGTCAAATCCCGCCCTGGTTGAGAATGTGTGCGTAAAGTCTGGGATATCAGACCACAACATCGTCACTTTTACTCTTGCTGCAAATCCAAAGATCTCTGTCAAACCCCTGAGGAAGATCTACCAGTTCCACAAAGCTGACGAACAGCAACTGAGAGATGCAGCAGCCGAATTTGCGACGGAATTCCTCCAATCAGATCCAGAAAGAAGATCAGTGGAGACAAACTGGTCCATCATTGTCAACTTCTTGAACAGGTGTTTGTCTGAGCTTATTCCTTCCAAAATGAGCAAAGGAAGGAAACATCTTCCTTGGATTATTCCTCCTTTGAAACGCCAGATGAGGAAGAGAGATAGCCTATTCAAGAAGGCACACAGCCAGTCTTGCTCCACAGCTTGGACAGCCTACCGACAATTCAGGAACCAAGTTGCCAAGAATGTGCACAGAGCACGTTGTGAGTACGTCAACAACATCATCGGGGCAAGCCTTAAGGACAACCCAAAGTCTTTCTGGTCTTACATCAAGACATGTCGTTCTGAAAACATTGGTATTCCTACCTTGCATACTCCATCTAAACTATGCGCCTCAGCATTAGACAAGGCAGAGACACTGAACGACTACTTCCAGTCTGTCTTTACTCCTCACCAGCTCCAACCTCTTGTACAGAAAGGACCTTCTCCTTTTCCAACTATTGGTCACCTGCATGTTCACAGGACTGGTGTCGAAAAACGCCTCCAACAACTGGACCCTTCAAAGGCCAGCGGACCTGATGAACTCCCACCCAAGCTCCTAAAGTTGGTAGCTCGCGAGATTGCTTCTCCACTGTCCTTCCTGTTTCAACAAAGCTACAACAGTGGCATCGTTCCAGCCCAATGGAAACAGGCACTGGTTACCCCTATTCACAAGTCGGGAGAAAAGTGTGACCCCTCCAACTACAGACCGATCTCACTTACCTGCGTTTGCTGCAAAGTCATGGAACATATCATCCTGAACCATGTGTCGAAGCATGTTGCAGTGAATAATATCCTCACTGATGCACAACATGGCTTCCGACGAGGGTTGTCAACAACCACTCAATTGACAACAGCCGTCCACGACTGGTCCTCCATCCTACAGCAGCGTAGCCAAGCTGATATAATCTTCTTGGACTTCAAGAAGGCATTTGATCGAGTACCACACCTTCTCCTGTCAACCAAACTTCAGTACTATGGAATAAGTGGTGACTCACTCCAGTGGATAATGTCTCTCCTCACTGATAGACAACAGGCAGTCGTAGTTGATGGATCCAAATCAACATGGAGGGATGTAACATCTGGAGTCCCCCAGGGATCCGTCATCGGCCCTACCCTCTTCCTGTTGTATATCAACGATATCCAAGACAACATCCAGTCCACAATGCGTCTCTTCGCAGATGACAGCACCCTCTATCGTGAGATTCGATGCCCTGAGGACCATCAAATCCTAAAGGACGATCTCCAACAGCTGTCCAGGTGGTCTTCAAACTGGATGATGGACTTCAACGTGAAAAAGTGCGCTATCCTCACCATCACACGGAAGCGTACTCCCAGCATCCGAGAATACCACCTGTCAAATGGACTGATTCCGAGAGTGAAAGAGTACAAGTACCTTGGAGTAACGGTTGCTGCTGATCTCCGTTGGAACAAGCACTGCCAAACCATCCGGCATAAAGCAAGCCGTACTCTAGGTCTTCTTCGCAGGACTCTCTCACCCTGTACCAGGGATGTAAAGTCCAGGGCCTACACAGCCTTAGTGCGCCCCCAATTGGAGTATGCCTCGGAGGCTTGGAACCCACACAGCGTCACGGTCACAAAAATGCTAGAGCAAGTACAAAGAACAGCGGCTCGCTTTGTGTACCGTGACTACAGATACACCACATCACCATCAGCTCTTGTGGCAGCTCTAGGGTGGGACACGCTTCACACACGTCGAATCCTCGACCAATGCACCCTTCTCTACAAGATCCATCACCGACTTGTCCCCATACCTGCACCAACT